ACACAGAGAAATGTAGAAGGAAAAGGCAAAGAACACTGAAGGACGAAAGGAAATGCTTCAACTTTTTCTTCCTCGAACACTGATGAGAACTTCAGTTTGGTTTTGCTGAGATCCCAGTGAGACACCTGGACGGTGACAGATGGGTGAGAGCAGCTGGAGAATGAAAAGCAAACCAGCTCAGCCCCATGCTGAACAATACCCAGGGGTAAAGCCACGACTCAGTTAAATTCTAACCAGAATTCAATTCTAACCAAATGGGAAATAGGACATCTATCTTCCTGAAGTTAGGCGAGATAAAAACAGAGAATACAGTGCATGGTTTTGAAAGTAATGGCATACCATCATTTTGAATCTGTGGCACATCCATGGAGTTTTGGCAATACCCTCCAACCCCTGCACAGACACTTTACCAGTGGCTATTGTGGCTGCTTTTAATAGTGATGGCTAAGCATATTTTCTCCCAGAGTGCTTTGAAGAGTGGAACTGGCAACCAGGCAATGGCTTGGCTATAAAATGCCAACCTCATTTTAAACATCTAAATCACTCACATGGACCATAAGCACAGAGAGGACCACCCACCACATAATATTAACATAAATATAGCATTCCCCCCAAGCAAAATGAGCAACTGGAACTGGCGGGAGCTGAGAGCAGAACAACAGAAAACGATTAGGGGGTGGGAGAGATTGAGTTACGAAGCAAGAATTAAAAGAGCAGAGCACATGCAGCCTGGCTGAGTGACAACTGGGGAGAGAGATGGACATGATAACAGCCTATAAATATTCACAAAGCATAAACACCAAGGAAGGGAAGGAATTCCTTACAGCGAATAAAGAGGTTCTGTTGGGATTGAATGAAGAGTGAAAAAAATCTGCCTTGTATATCAGTGGGAACTTCTTGAGGCACAATCTAGTAGGCAGCACAAGTCCACTTGCTTGGCAGGATTTTGAAGGACTGAACAAAGCTTTAGTACAGCAGGGAATAACCCGCTCTTGGCAGGGAGCTGGCGGGATGCTGAGAGTGGCCTTTCAGTCTCCCACTGCCATGGAGCACTCCCGGTCCTCAGCTCCCACGGGAGACAGCTGCTCTGCTGTGTAAGCGCATTGTTCACCCTCCTCCTCATCAAGATCGCCTTGGTGGGTTCAGAAATTCGTGCCAGAGGCACCAAGGCATTTAGGCACATAAAGATATAAACAACTCCAGTAGGTTCTAACTGCTGGACACAGCTGGGAACCCCAGTATGTCCCTGCAACTCACTGTTGGAAGCCTAAGTCCAGGAAATTAGATTATAAACCCTCTAAAGCAAGAGCGATCCTTTTGTTCTCTCCTTATGTAGCACCTAACACAATAGGAGTCTTGGCACTGCAGCAAGGATACTGTTTGTAGTAATAAAAACGGGATCTAATGGGATCTAATAGTCTGGGGCTACTTGGCCCACGCAAAGCACAAGGATGAGGAAGGCATTCAAAAGCACTCTTAACAGAGGGTGTTCTCAGAAAAAACGTTCTGCACATAGGTGGTAAACTGATACATGTTCCACACCAGAAATACGCACGCGTTTAACAAAGAATCACAAGTGACCACAGAAAAAGCTTACTTGTTCAGCTGAAGCAGAGAATTATAGTTACTTCTAACATGTGTTTTGGGGTCTGGGTGTGGTTTCTAGATAGCTTGAAATTTCAGTCTACTGTTCTGCCAGTCAAAATCAGCCAAGTTTTGATGTGTTCCAGCTCCCCTAAACACAGCCGACAGATGCTGAAATCAAAGTTGACGTTCAACCTACACACTGTATAATCCAATAACAGGACTTGTGCTACTCACAATTAACAAAATGTAGGACTTTTTTCACAGCAAAACAAACAAGGAAAACTGAGTTGCTCTCTGAAAAATCTCTGAAAAGCTTTATGAAGTCTAATTATGATTTTGTATTAACAGGTCAGAAGAGATACTTAAAAGTCATAATCTGCCAGTGTCCAGCATCTGTGGCTTCAGTAAGAGAGATGACCCAGGTAAATGCATTTCTCTCAGTGGGAAGCTGGGTGTATAAGCTGATCCCAGAGTACAGGGGCAAAAGCTCTTTGATGCAGACAAGACCAAAATGTCATATGTTTGACAGTGCTTCATATCAGCGTAGAAGAGACCAGAAGTTTTCCAGTGATTGATCAAATGGTTGCACTCAAGTTTAAAGCTTTAATTTATGGGCTAGACTCAAGTAAATTTCTTTGAACACTCAGTGCTGAAGTTTCTCCTGTTGATTTATGTACCAGCACAGCAACTGTAAGACGAGAGACGTTACTGAACAGATGCAACTGTCTCTAACAAGGCCATGGGAGCTGAGCTTCATTTGCAGCATTCCCAGGTTCAGTTCAATTCAAATCATGATGATTTTGATGAAAATGAGAAAACATCAGTATGAAAGATCTTATTATCACACCATCACAGTGCTAAAGCTAATGATGGATTTCAACCCTTTTATCACTTAACAATCTGGAGTCTTGGAATTTCAAACAGATTTTTTTTTCCTAATACACAGAAATAGAACTTTCCCAATTTCACTCTTTACAGCATGAGACTGTCAAACTCTAAGGGGAAAAAAATCCCAACAGATTGCAGATTACTAACCTCTCAGATGTTACACAATTTAAGCAGGGTAGAGAGGGGGAGCAGTCATATGAATCATGTTTTCAGTTTCTGGCAGCAATCTTAGCCTACAGAAAAAAGGGTTACACTTCCAAATTCCCACTTTCTCACCTTCAGTTTCTTGGTAATATTGTATCTGAGATGCACTGTCTTAAAATGATGAAATTAGGAATTCTCTGTTTGCATGGCTTTGTCCTCCTCAAGAAACAGGTAAGAAAACCAAAGGAACTGGCTGAGTGTGTTGTGTAGGTGCTTCCTAATTTTGAGGTTGATTTTAATGGTGATTGTATCTCATCCACGAAAGCGTTGTTTTTGCAGATGACATATGCTGTGTATGCTGGGGAAACACAGGATCCCACTGAAAGCAGAATCTCTTTCCAAACTTTGTTCTGCCAGATGCAGCCTCCCCTAGCATTGGATTCCAGCTTTGGTTTTCTTCATAGCAATTTCTGGCTTTTGAAAATCTCCTTACTCAACAATTTGTGCTTGTGGGGAAAATATAGAAACCACACGATATTTTTTTTCACTTATGCTTTTTTCACATCTCAGCCTTGTTTTTATCTATATCCACATACTTTGAACATGGCTAAGCTATAATTATGGAAGAACAAATAGAGTCAAATCACACAACCCAGCATAATACATTAGTTGTTGATTTTTTGGCCAACTCGAGAACTGGAGAAGAAAAAAAATGCCAACTTGAAAAAATTAAATTAGTAAAGTAAATATTGCCCAAATCAAACACTTGAACCAAAGACAATGATGTTAATAGTGGATATATACATGTAAGCACACGTCTGTATGTAATTCAGTGCTACTGTGTAGAGGATTCTCTTCCTATTCTTACAACTGAATGCAACTGCTGATCTTATCTTACCCCAACACAGTCATTTTCTAACCTGAAAATATACTCTGAAAGTGTTAAAACCATACAGGAGAAGCTACACATGAAAAATATCGGTGTCGTGTTATTGGAATGTAGACTTTAATGAAAGTTTAGGTAAAAACTTAGTAAGTCTCTTGGGACATTTCTAAGAATGAGTGATTCTTTGCTGGAAGAAACTCTAAACTCAGGTCCAGTTACCTAACTAAAGCATTTTTTCAACTAATTATGCACTGGTGTCATGCTGATGTTCATTTCATGCAAAATTCCCAATGCCAGTCTCGCACACACTGAAATCTCTGGCGAACCTTGCTTTGGTTTTAATGAGCTCTGGATCCAACTTAGCTATTTAAACACATCTTTTAGGATCCAACCTTTGTTCTTACTGAAATCGGTGGAAATTCTGTCACTGACATTAGATGGAAAAGCACTGGATTTTAATTTGATTGGACTAAAATTGCAGGACAATCTAAGAAAGCAGTATTCTAATTAGAGTTACATGAGTAACCTTACATAATGCAGTATAGCAGATCTCTGAGCAGCGCAACTGGAGCTAATGAAATCTCTAGAGGCAGAATATGTATTTCTCAACCTGTGGAATCTTATATCTGGGGAACCATGTATGACAAAGATCCCAGATAAGGGAACAGACAAGTAACCCTATGGTACCATACAGTACCAAGCTTTGAGACTTTCTGTAGTCTGGTCCATTACTCTCAGTGCAAATAATTTCCAACAGCTGTCACTACACAACTCCTCTGCAATGGTCACTAAATGGAGCCCAGAGTTTCACAGGCAGTCAGTGTGATATTTGGCTGCCCAGAGACTCAGATGAGCAAACTGAGCGGCAGAAAAGAATGGAAGAAAAGGAAACCCAGCTTCTACACAGGGGCATGGGGGTCTCCCCCCTTCCTTTCACCTGTTTGGGGGCACGCAGCTCCAACCAAGGGTCTCCCAAACATTTCCCAGGGCAACATCCGTGTGAGGATGGGGAAGCCTTCCCCGGATTCTGCCCTCTGTCACCATCAGAAATCATTTTGCCTTTTTCACCGCTCTGTTGTCTTTGTTCTCCCACACGATCTCTTCAGCCAGAACCTTTACTTCTGAAGCAGCTCCAAGAACTGTGGGGTGGTTATGCGAAGCCCTTTTTGAAAGGCGGCTGCAAAGACGCAGCCTGTGCCGCCCGGAGGGTCCCACAGCCGAGTGCCGGGGGGAGACAGCTTCTGCAGCGCTCCTTTACCGGGCAGGTGCCGGAGATCTGAAAACCCCCCGGCACGGAACCACCCCCGGGCCGCAGCGGAGCGGGCAGCGGGGCAGCGCCAGGCTCCTTCGTGCTGTGCGGCGGGGCACCCCGTGCTGCAGCCCGTCCCTCCTCGCGGCTTCCTCGCGGGCTCTCTGCCGCCGGTGGGGATGGAGGCGGCGGGCAGCTCCCCGCCGCCCTCTCCCACCCCCCGCCGCTCTGATTGATGCCACCTACCTACGAGCAGCCCGGCGAGCCACCAGCACCGGACCATGGTGGACGATGCTCTGCTTCCTCGGCGGGAGGAGCGCGACCGCCGCCGGTGCCCGCGGAGCTCAGCGGGGCGCAGCGCGCGGCGGTGCGGCCATGGGACGTTCCGGTGCCCGCGGCGCGGCTCGGGACCGCGGCTGCAGCTCGGGGCCGGCTCGGGAGCAGTCACAAGCTTTCGAAGAGGAGTTAAAAAAAAAAAGATATTAAAAAAAAAAAAAAAGCAACCTATCCCGCCTACGCTGTGAAGTGCGTCCCCCCCGACTGCTGATAGCTTTAATGGAGTTTGGCAGCCACAGGTTCAAGTTGCCAGAAGAGGTGGAGACTCCGCCGCCCGCGCCCCACACGCGGCCGCGCATCGCACACGCGGAGTAGCACTGCTCCGTCGCGGCGCCTCCGGGCGGGATCCCAGGGAGCGAGAGCCCCCCGGGCCGCGCCTCAGCCCCTCGGCGGGCATCGCGCCCACCTGACTGAGGGCCGCACCGGGTGCAGGAACAGTCGCTCTCCTCAGCGCGGCGCTCCGGGGCTCATCCCGCGCAGCCTCGAGGCCGCCATGCGATACGGCCCCTCAGGGACATCTGGCCTCGGTTCTCTTCACCTGAGGTCAAGAGACGCCAGCGGGCGCCCTGAAGAGCCAAAACAAATTTAACGTACTCTGAACATCCCTCATGGCTGTGGATGCCGCTTACAGAGCTAGGCCCCCAGGGTGGCCGTGATGGATGGAAGGCTTATAACCAGCTCAGATCTGGATTCAAACGCGTCTGGATCAAACACGCTTTCCTTGTCTGCCTTGGTGATTAGCAATGAACAGGAAATGAGATGCTGGCTAGAGGTGACACCAGTCATTTGCTGCCCTTCAAACAAAGCTAAGCAATGTGTGTCCCAGTAACGTATGGGCTGGGATGCCTTGGGAAGCAGTGAGGGGAAGGGGCCAAGCTGTAATGACTCCGATAGTTTAATACTCATTCCAGTGCCTGCGCTAAAGGCTGAGGTTTAGCGCTTGTTTCCGGACTGAAAAACTAGACTCGGTTTTTGCAAATGAGAGAGGCACAAACCAAAATGCATGCATGCCCACTGTGGAATCCCTTGACTGCAGACTCGCTTTCCCTAATGAAAGTGGCAGTTTCACTCCATAAACGGAAACAGTAAGGGGAAAAAAGCTGGTCTCCAAGTTCACAGCAGTAATGCTGCAGATGGTGACGAGAAGAAGCGGAGGCCCGGTTCCCATGTTTGCTGAGCAGAGGCGTTGGAGCCCTGGAGTGAGGTCTCAGTGAGTGCAGCAATTTTATTACTTTGTCAAAAATAACACATAACATCTTTAATGCAAAGTAGGACAGACTTATCTGTCTTGGGTGCCTAAAGAATTAGAGTTTAATGATACTTGCCAAGATAAAAATAACAAAGTCCATTTGTAATGCAGGCACTCCTTTCTCTAGCTGATGTTTTTATCTCTTTTTGTTTCCCCAATTCCCCAGACCAGTCATTCTCGGTAAATGTCCAAACTGCTGTGGTTTTTTTGTATTTACAAATACATAAATTATCACACGCATAGGCAAAAAAAAGCTCTCCTTTATAATGATGTCAGGGAGAAGTGAGTAATTTTACAGTCAGTACCTTTACAAAGCAGGACCCGGCCCACTGAAGCACTGCTGGCAGATGGCACAGGTTCCACCAGAAGCAAACCAGAAGTTTCTGGCTCTGTATTTTTCCTATGATTCTTCACATCTTCTGAGTTCTAATACTAATCCGCTTCGTTTCTTCTGCAATAGTTTGAGTTTGGGGCTTTTTTTTGAGGGAAGCAGTAAAACCAAAGCATTTTCAAAGCATCTTTCACACAGGTGTGAACTATCACAAGCTTTATCCCATAACAAACAGACTAACGAGGCACAGTGATAGATTTCATTCATATAGTTCCTTTCATCCCTGCAGCTCCCAAAGGCCTTTATCAAAGCAACCATTACAGGCAGTTTTCTTTTGGAAGGATTCCTCTTGCCACTATGGTGCTGCAGGTCTGTCTGCACACTACAACACAGCTGCTCCACTGTGCATCAGCCCACGAGGATGAGTGCCACAGCCAGTTAGAAATGCTGGAGGATTTAGATAGGCAATCAAGTCTTCCAGCCTGGAAGCCTGCCAGTACATCAGGCTTAAATTCTCAACTTGTGTAAAAATTGCTGGGTAATCTTCAGCTCCTGCAGAGGACCAGCAATGTAAAAATGCCCGTAATTTTTATTATCAAATAATTACTGACTACCTACTAGTCAAAGCATGTGGAGGGAAACAAATGATTGCAAATAGCCCATAATTCCAACAGAACTATGTAGCCTGATTTAAGAATTCAAAGTGAATATAAATGGTTCCTATTCTGTTTCAGGAGCACTTTACTCACTATGCTGTAAATACTAACACAGCTGTGGGGTAACTGGGAACCAGACCAAGGTGTTTTTGCATTAGCTATGCTTCACTTGCCTGGCACCTTGTGTAATACTCATTTCTGTGCAAAACAGGTACAGAATATTTGAACTCACAATCATGCACTCTTGTCAGGAACAGAGGGCAATGAGTTGCCTAGCCCCTGAAGGCCAAATATTTTCTCTTCTCCTTGCCAGACTAGCAGGGATAGGCAACCACACATTAAGGCAGAAGGCCAGGAAACCAAGGATTAATAGGCTAACAGCCATGAAAATACTGTTTGTCTGAAGAAAGAGATCCTCTCAGTAGATACTCAAGTCCCCAAAAATCCATGGCCATAAGCCATAGCAACTCCACTTCTGAAATTCTTTCTCTAAGAGGTGGTACCAGGGAATAGAGAGTTTGCAGAGCTGAAAATGCTGGGTGTCCAGAAAGTGCTGAGTATGTGCATTTGCAGCTAATGTTTACCCTGTAGAACCACTTGCACTCTATTTCAGTTTCAGGGGGAGCATTTTATGGGACGATGGGAATTCATATGCCCTAGCTGCTTTCTAGAATAGCCTGTATATTTAGGCACAAGGCTGCTACAAAAATATGAGGGAAAATGCAATATTAAAAAGAAAGATATTTCTTAGCATCCAGACGGTTTTCAACCAGATCGTTTAATCTGTTGTGGATGTTCACCTATAAAATATTATTCTGCTTCTAATATTGTAGAGTTTAAAGGCACAGCCAACATCTTTCCCAGTGTTTGTGAATGACTTTGAAATTGCGGCGGCTTTTGTCAAGTCTCAGTCAGGAACAGTTGGAATTGAACAGTAAAACTTGGGGCAGGGGTGGCTTGTGGGAGAAAAGCGACGCATCCCTCCTGGCAAGGACTTCACCAGATCTCCCTGGGAAACTCTGGAGGGAGCTATATACATTTAACACTCTTTGACTCACCAACAGATGCACTGTAATGCAGTGTTGGCAAGTGGGTACAGAAAGAAAAAAAAAAAAAAAAAGATAGAAAAAGTCTTAAAAAATAAAGAAGCCTGAAAAGGATTCTTGAATTTCTCGGAAGAAAATAAATAAATAATAGGTGCAAATTCATTTTCTTTCACTCTTAAACAAAAACAATCGATATGACCAGAAGATTCTTCATCTGAAGTACAATGTACAGAGCCCTTATTTGTTAACTCTCACAACATGGCCAAATGGAACTGGTATTATCTTCCTCAGAGATGATATAATTTTCCAAACACATAGCTGGTGTCATCAGTGTCAGCCCCAGGACATCGCTCAGCTGCAGCGTGCAGCAGAGAACAGTACTTCCCCTGCTGTGCAATGTGCTGTATTATTGCCACTCTCTTCAGCATTAGTAAAGAAAACAACGTTGCTTGCCTCTATTCCTCCTGCCAGCTTGGTTATCAGGCATTTTCTTTCCTCTTGCTCTTTTTGTGACTGGCCGCAGGCTGTTTGGGCACTGCCACTCGAGGCTGGTGATGGATACACACTGACTGCAGCTGTTTTGGCTGCCTTTGTCAGCCACCTTCAGCTGCTGGAGCTGGTGGAGGACATGTCACCAACCTTCAGCCTTAGCTTTGGTCTGTTCACTGAGAAGGAGCTTTCAAAAAAATCTTGCAGAGTCATTTAGCAAATACCCAATACACTTTAAAGAGTAACAATAGGAAAAAATGTGTTTAAACTTTCCAGAATACCTGGCCCAGTATATGTATTTATATGCTAAAAAGCACTGAAGTATTATTTACATGCTTAGCTGGGGTTTGTCTTTTCTGGAGAAGTCTGGACTGCTACCTGTTATACTTGGCTCATGAAGATTTAAATAAGAATTTATAGACCCAAAACCATCTGCAAAATGTCCCAGTGCTTCAAGGCCAATGTAAATGCAACAGGGAGGGAGGGGGGGAAACCACAGAAAGAAAAGGTTAACAAGGTTTCTCCTCGCCTCCCCCTTGGCACATTTTATAATTAACTTCATAATGTCTAAGAGCAAAGGTTTGGAGGAGATAAATCTCCCACATCCTTGGAGATAATTGCAACAGTTTGTGTAGCACATTATACCAGAAGCAACTTTGTTTCGTTTGCAAGTTATTGAGAGTACACGTACTGCAGGGCACTGTGGAGAACTGGCTTTACATCTCGACATGAAAGCAGCTTGCTGTGATTTATATAATCATGCTAATCGGGAATGCACATTAATTCAAGGTCTGTTTTGAGGCTGAGGAAAGAAAAACGCATAAAAAATGAGCCAGCTTTCTATCTTGTGCAAGGTGCCACTGTTTTCCAAAGCGTGAAGAAATTAAATGTCTCCTTAGTTATTAAAAGGCAGCTAGAGGAGAGCTCTCACTGCGTGCTGCACTGAGAGCCACAGGCAACTGAACCTTCTGCCCCCAGACTCTATCAGCATTAGGGAAATTTAAAATTAAAATAGATCTTGAAACTCTAGCCCAGGTTTTCTTATGAATGACAGATCCTTCCTGCCCTCAGTCCACCACATTTCTCCAAGCTTGAAAACTGACGCTTCCTTCTTAAAAGCAAAAAGTGGGGAAGACGTTTGTGGTCTGGTGGTTACACCGTGGGGCTGGAAAGAAGTGTTGTTTCACATCTGGGCCGAGTTTCTCGTTCACCGTGGACTTGATCCTGCCAGATACTGAGCACCCATTGATTTTTCAAGGCCGAGCCCCCACATAATTCATGTGAGTCCAAGTTCTTATTCCAAAGCAAAACCTGGGCCTGTATTAAAAAAATTGGTGCTGCTTCTGTGGTTATGCTGCTTCCTTCACATTCCCAGCAGCCCAACATTAATTTCTGTTCTCTCTTCTAGTGGCATGAGAGCCGGGACAGCCATGCTCTAACACTTGACTCTTCCAAAGCCCTGATTCCTCATTAAAATTTCATTTAAATACTGTGAGGCTTAGCTTTTTCTGATAAGTGGGATGTCCTGTTCTCTTCCATTTCTGC